GGCTGTCATCTGTCTCTGTAAAGTTGTTTTGGGCGCTATTTTTTGTTTCAGCAGGTCTGCTGTCTCTTGTCCAGTCCACCAACAGTTGATTTTTAATTGTTTTTCAGGTGGTTGCCCAGAGCTTTCAAGCTGGCACTGTAAAGCATTTTCAAATAGGGATCAGGAGGTCCTAAAGCGCTACCTGGTGGACTTGAGCCACCAACCTTGCAGTTTGATGTACATGTCTAACAGCCGCACGCGCTAACCAGTTGCGCCATGGCAGCCTGTGCTCACAGTATTGTGCTTGTGACAGTAGACAACATTTTTACACTTTCACCGCGTCTCTCCTTTTGTCTGTCTTCAATCTCACTCTTGCTCTCTCTCTTCTCATGCACTCTGTCTCCCTCACGCACACACACACTGGGGAACTTGGTCCTAGGTGTGTGATCATTTTATTCTTGCTCAGAGCCAGCAAGCAGTCAAAGTACAGCAAAATGCTAGCAAGGCCTGTGGCTCTCACTTTCACACCTTTTGGCCGTCAACCTGCTGACATTGAAATGCTTCCCCTTGGAGCACAGGCGCCAGAGCCGGGGTTGATCCGGCGACCTGTCGATCTGCAGTCGACCGCTCTACCACTGAGCTAAAAGTCCCTGTCCTGTGCCACACAATACAAGAATTCTTGTCACCCCTTACTGTTGTTTTTATTTTATTTTATTTTATTTTAAGGGAAATGGAGCTTTGCTTGCTGGTGATGTTTGAGCTACCCCTCTTTGCAAGCTCCTCCTCAAGCCTCATGTGTCGTGTGTCAAATTCTCCCTTGCTAGTGTGTTCCCACCAATTGGGCAGGATTAGGATGATGAGACAGCAGCATTACACAGGACCAGTTCATTCAGTCCCACACAGAGCAGTTGTGCTTTGCCATTTGCATCTCCTTCCCCACCACCACAAATCAGAAATTACAGAGAGAAAGAGAGAGACAAAGGGAAGAAGGAATCAAAGAGAAACAGCTTATTCAGCAAAAAATCATCTGATTTCATTTGATTCAATTTTTTGAATCAGACCCAAATCGGACCTTGTTTGGATTTGATTTGAGCAGTGTTAAGCCTTATCACTCTCTAAAGTGGGAGAGTTGAGGGATGTGTGAGCCACCCACTTTCATCCTTTCTCTCTCCAAAATTCTTCTCTGGCAATTTCTGTTCCATTTGGCGCAATTTGGCCAATCAAATGTCAGGTGTATTGCAAAAATTCGTGATTTACAGCGCTGTATTGAAAACCTTTTGTTTTCTCACCACCACAAATGCACTTTGTTTTCAATCCAAAAGAAGAAAACATAAAAAATTATATTTGTTCTTTATTGATTTGCAAATGACATTGAGAAACAGTGTGAAACAAGTGATAAGAAAAAGGCTTTTCTGCATCTAGCTGGAAAATAAATTGAGTCAAATTGCAGATCAAGCCAGAGTTAAACCCTACAGAGCAACTGCTCACCTATTCCTAAAGCAAAACATTTGGGAACAGGAGAATGAATGAAAGAAGCCATAATCAGGGTCATGTCAGCTTGCCCCTCCAGGAGCAAAGCCTCGTGCTTGGAGGGAGAATTCTCACCGCTGACTCCCAAGTACCTGAAATGGCAACCACCGTATTCTGCCCACAGTGCACCCCTGCATGCATTGTCCTCTAATTTGATGCCACGCATGCCAGCAACTTGTGGTGCAAGGTGATTAATTGCTAATTGTTAGGCAGAACTGAATGGTTAGCAGCAAGAGGCACAAGACGGACCTGAACCTATCGTGACTGTCAGTTATCAGTTCTCATGATGCCCATGGGAGAGCAAGCCACCGCCAATGCAGACCTGGGCGCTGGCTTGCGCTGATGACAAATACTCTGAGTATTAAGTGGAACGGAAACCCAGTGTCAACAGTTTTCCTCCTCCTCTGCTCAAGCAGATAATATAGGAGAGGTTTTTACCCTGTGCCGGTCACGCTTGCCTAGCAACTATTACAGCGTGTGCATCATCATCATGTATCAATAATTCATAACAGAGTTTTTTCTCCTTTCTCTCCAAGTTGGGGAGAAGGACCACCCACAAACACACATCTCCACTTCATTCACTCCTTCCACTCACTCACTCAGAGTAGACTGTTCACACATAGCGAATTCTTTCAAGATGGAGGGTGATTTGAAATATTCACAGCATTTCAAATCAGACAAGGTCTGTGTGCAGTGACCAGTCCTCCCACAGAGGTGTTCAGCAGAGCTGACTGGTTAGCAACAAGTGGCACAAGACAGAGACAAACCTATTGTGACTGTCAGTTATTGTTCTCACAATGCCCATGGGGAGAGTGAGCCACTCCCAATGCAGACCTGGGCAATGGCTTGCGCTGTTGACAAATACCCTGAGTATTAAGTGGAAAGGAAACCTGGTGAAAACAGGTTTCCTCCTCCTCTGCTCAAGCAGATAATATAGGAGAGGTTTTTGCCCTGTGTGTTATGAACCACCCTCTGGAAACCTCTGGAACCTTCTAGAACATTCCTTCATGGAACCTTGTGGAACCTTCTGGAACCTTCTTTGCTTTCCTGACTTGTCTTGTTGTTGTCATTGGTATCATTGTTATCATTGTAAAAACCAATTGTTCCTTCTGGACCTTTCTTTGAGTTAGGAAGACTCTCAAAAGGGACAAAAAGGGGATGGGGGACCTGTCCCATCCTCAAGTGAATTTTGTTCCAATACAATCATCACTCCTCTCAGTTCCTTGTCTGCCTCGTTAATTGTGATGACATGTTTGGTTGTTGAAAAACAGGGTGTCGTCCAAACAGGCCCTTCGATCCTCACATTGAGGATGAAAGAGAAAACTGTCACCAAGGCAGAAAATAGGGCCAACCACGCCCGATGTGGGGGTCGAACCCACGACCTTAAGATAACTTTTTCCTTGGCTGAATTGCCTCAAAGATAAAAGTCTCACGCTCTACCAAACTGAGCTAACCGGGCTGTTGCTGAGGGACTAGCAATTGAATCTCGCCCTCCGCAGCGTGCTCACTGCTTCACTTGGGATTCCAGGACTTGCAGGAAGTGATGGACATACGCTCTGCTCACCACGCAAACACTGGACCTGTGCAGACGGATGTGGTTCCTCATAGAACCATCTGAATTCGATCTGATTTGATCATAATTAGTAGATTTGTCTTATTCCTATTCGATTTGATGTATTTTGACGAAAAACTGCTGAATCTCGAAGTGTAGTAGCCAAATCAGACAATGTATTTAAAAAAGTGAACCCTTCACGAATCCTTCACCAAGAAAAAGTCTGCTGGATTGCAATTGACACACCCTCACTTGCTCTGAAAAGACAAGAATATTTCTTCAACTCCATGAACTCATGGGCACAAGGAATACCCTTGTCAAAATCCCTTGCCGTTCTATGAACAGTGCAAGGAAAGGACAGATAATTATACTTTGCAAGTGGGAAGAGAGTTGGCACTTAACTGCATCGCCAACCATAACCCCTGATGCGTGCAAAATCAGCCCTGCAAAGAAATCAACAGTTGGTTGTGATGGGTGGAGAGTTTGCAATATTTTTCTGCTGTTGGACAGGTCGCAAATCACAATGCTCAGAGTGCGTCCAATTTTGCTTTTAACCAGCAAGTTGCCACTGTGAAGGCTGAGGTTGACCAACTGGCAGGGGCAAACTTCGCCAAACAAGCGCTTGCCAGTTTGAATGTTCCAAGCCTCAACCCCACACACACATCCCACAGCCAAGATCGATTTTTGGAGCTGAATTCTCTGGATTTGGCTGTCAAATTGCTGGGAATGAACAATTTCACCTGAAGTCAGGCAGAGCACATTGACTGTGTCATCAGAAATGGGGAAAGCGATGAGACACTGCTGTACATGTGTTTTGTAATAGTTTTGAGAATGGGTCTTGATAAGCAGCACCACACGTTGACACAGTCATTGGTTGAACCAATAATGCGATCCTAGTTTATGTGAACAAAATCAACAAAATCACTGAGCCCCCAGAGAGTGTCCTCAAGCTTGTCAGTCATCGCGTTCCACACTTTAACCTCACTGTCACAAGTGCTGCCCACAATTGTGCCTCTGTGTCAGGCAACACTGGAAGCTCCGCTCTCGGAAGTGTCGAAGGTCCACACGTATTTTTGAGTTGCGCAATCCCATATTTGGATGCCGTCATTTGCTGCAGTCACAATGGAGTATGCGTCGATGCAGATTCCACGAATACGGCGTGAGTTGCCCAACTTGAGTCTGCCTTCCCGTCCGTACAGTAGCCTAGCGAGGGCAGTGCAGTCATGAAAAAGCGTTTTCCACAGGACATCTGCAGCCAAAACACTGCGGCCACTGCTGATGTCAATCTCGCGAATGGATTCTGTTGCAACAATGGTCATCATCTGGCTGCGGTCAGGGATGTTTGGCGACTCTGCAAGCGACACAGGAGCGGCCCAGCGGGCGAGGAACATTGCATCCCAGATTATGTTGTCGGCAGCTGGGAGCAACCAGCGCTTTGATGCGCAGCAGAGCCTGGCAAGGGACTTGACGTCAGATGCCACGAACGTGAGTAAACGGCGCAGAACCTCTTCAAGAATGTTGTTGAGGAGAAGTGGGCGTGCTTCTGACTGTTGTGGAGTGAACGGGTGGGACTGATTGGCACGAAGTGGCAGAAGATCAGGGTCGTAGATCATTATGCGATCACAGATGGTCAAAATAGTTGCAATCTTTGTTGGTGCAGCTGCGCCACCCATTTCTTTCTCTGGCGCACCTGCATTGCCACACCTTCCTTTTTTGACAACCTCCTGCATTGCGCTATGCAAAGGTGCTGCTGATTTGTTTCGCTATCTGTGCACAGTGTTGGCTGTGTTTGTCATCAAGGCCAGCTTGCACTGGTACCAACAGCAACAGGCCAGTGCCACCCCACCGATCACCTGATTCTAAGGACACAACAGTCTCTCAAGTCTATCTGTGTAGGACCTCAACCAGCTGCATCAAGTCCATCTCATCCTCGTGGTGCTCGCCATTTTCCACCACCACAGGTCAGCGGTTTTCGCTTCTGCGCCAAAACCACCGCCCTGGCGACATGTTCCAGCGCTTTGAGGTCTAACGACTTGCGGGTAAAGCTATGCTTCCTGTGCTGTGCCAAGCCTTGCAGCGGCCACAGGCGCGCTTGTGGGGGGTGGCCTGGCTCACAAAGGTCGAGGTACTGGTTGCATCATGAGAGAGCAGCATTGGTAGAGTTGCTGCTTCTGGTTCCGTTTGGCTTGGCACGATGTGCTCTGTGACTGTCATCAAATGAAAAAACCAAAACACCACAAAGTGCGTCTGTGCCTTCTGCCGGAATCGGACCGACGACCTTATCCTTGCAGGGGCATGGTAGCCTCCTACGAGGGATACGCTCTGCCAGCTGAGCTAAGAAGGCCCTCCATGCAATTGTTCTGCTGGCTACCAAAATAGAAGCAGCTTTGAAAAAGTGGTAGCTGATCAGTTGCTGTGGGCCAGGGTCAGGCAGTGTGAACAAGTCTCTCTTCCAGAAAGACAGACGCCAATTACTCATACAATGACGCTGGATACGCCCTTTCGAAGCATGTTCTTGTTCCCTACCGGAGCGTTCAATACCACCTGAAGGAGTGGGCTTCAGCTGATGCAGCGTGACTGGTTGGGAGTGTTCAACCCCATTGTGCGGTCACCTCTAATGCCATACCTAACCCCCCAAAAGAGTTGTTCAATCTGAGGCACTCCCAGCTTCGTAACGCAATTGAGCGAACTATTGGTATTCTGAAAGGACTCTTCCAAATTTTGCTGCAAATGCCTCCGTATGACTTCGCCACCCTGCAAGTTCCTCTCGTTCAGTCGCTGTGTGCTCTCCACAATTTCATCAGGATCAACAACAGTGGAAAAGACAATGAAGAGGTGTGGCTAACTGCCTTTCACGAATACAAAGCATCTCAGAACCAAGGACAAAGGCAGCAACAAGTGAAGAAGAAACTCAAAGAGGTTCAAGCTCGGACCCAGGGTTTCCGCGCAAGCTATCAAGAGGCCGTGACATTTCAGGACAACTTGGCGAAGAAAATGTGGAATGATTACTCAAAGCGGAAATGAAGCCACATGTGCATCAACCAGTGGGAGCTTGCAGTGCACAGTGAATAAGGGAATGGAAAAATTTGAAATAAAGAAGCAATGAAGACGATTCAAGAAAAACTCTCTTTTTAGATCTGCTTTTTGACCTCCATGCGCAGCCATTCCAGTCGCACAGAGGAGTGAATGTTGTTGAACAGTCGCGCCTTCACTCCATTTTCCATCAGGAGGATAGTCCCTGGGAGAAGTAGCGACTGATAGACTTCAGGCTCGCTGTCAGCCAGCCTGTTGAGGGCAGCTACTGCCTTCACGCTCTTGTCTGCATCCAACAGCGCCAGAGTCGGGGCTCTTGTCTGGCGCCTCGACTTTAGCTCACTGACCAGCGACGCAACACCATCCTTGATTCTGTCACTCAGTGCATGGCTTGCCTGAACAACAGCAGATTGCTCACGTCCAGACCTCTCCACCTTGGGAATCCCGTTTCCAGAGTCTGCTTCCTTGTCAGAGGTGGCGGACGAGGTGTCATGCTCCAATTCTCTCCCATCCTCTGGCTGGACTGCGTCTGATATACTGGCTGAGGGAGTAGGCATTTCTGCCGAAGCACCATCCTCAAGTTGAGCTACACACATTGACTTTGTTGTTTTTGTGGTTCTCCCATGCGGTGTAAATTTTCCAGTCGCTTTACCTAGAGTAGAGTAAGCGAATGCGAGAATATCCAGAGTTACCATACTATCGACAATGTCGTTGATAAGATTGTCATGTGGAAACTCCAGTGTTCAGTACTTCTTCCAGTTTTTGCCACCTTTTTGGACGTCGACTGCATTTTAGTATTGTGCAAAGATACTTAGCGGGCGCCTTACATACTTCAATCCATTCTTCCCATACTGCATTATCCGGCTGCTCAAGCATCTTTTTATCGTTGTTCCAACCCCACCCACTTCCCCCCTCGCTGCCCCTGATAGTCTTTAAAACTCCATACTCCTTGACCAGCTTTGTCGAAAGTACCAGAAGGCGAGGAAGGGTTCGAAGAACGTAGTTACCATGTTCCATTTCGACGTTAACTGCGACTTTTCAGCGATAAGTTGAGAGCTTCGTTGAATGATCTGTCAAATTGATTCCAAGCCTGCGACTTGAGATTGTTGTCAGTGCCTCGATCAGGTGAGTCGTGAACCAACTGGACAAGAATGTCAACCATATCATCAGTCCATGCAGCTCAGCTAGCCTGCTCGGCCGTGTCACTGCTGCTTTCTCGACGACTCTCACTCTTGCTGCTGTCTGATCCATTGCTACTGTCATCTGTGTGGCTGTCGGCTTCCCTTGCGCAGCCATCGCCGACTCCTTTGATATGGGCTCTGCCATGACTGCTGCTGCTGCTGCTGCTTCTGGGATGATCATCCATCTTGCACCGTGGTTTGCATTCCTTTGAGCTGTCGTTGACCCCACTGTCATTGTTGTTTCCAATGATGTTTGGGCCAACAGGCGAGGACGAGCGAACCTGTCGATGACGCTTCTCGTTCGTTTGATCTGATCTCCGTGGGGATCGCTTGCGTTTGTGATCAGATCTACTGCCTTTTTCTTTCTCACGGCCTCTTGCCATCGGCGCCGGGATGGGGTTGGGTTGTGTGAGACTACACTGAGGTCTCAGTGATAAAGTCTAGGATTTTATTCGCAAAAACAAGCGTACCTGTCATAAAACCGCAAGGATCGGGACCCCTATTATTGCTCCTGGTTCTTTAGTTTCCAAGGCGTTATCAAAGTGTATTTGCGGCTAACCCGTCTTTATTATTGGGTCTGCTTTTACTACTTTCGTCTTAACAGTTTCCGTTGCACCAGGGTTTTCTCAACATATTTTCTTTTTCGGTGACTAACAGAGACTGCCCAACTGCCTAGGGATGGGGTGCCTGACA